GTCCCTGAGTGAGAGCCGGTCAGCAGGCTCCAGGCCCTGCGTGCCAGCGGAGATACCTGAACTTAGACGCCTTCGCCCTTCCGCACCTCTTCCCCGAGCAGGACTCTCCCTCTACGTACTCTTTCTTAGACCTCAAAGCCAACCACCACTACTTTCCACAAAACTCTCCCGCTAGTCCTCCAGCTTGCACCCCCTGCCTCGGGTGTTTTCACTGACCTGCGACCTCAGCCAGACGTGTTAGAGCTCCAGGTTTCAGGCTTAACTTTGTTCACGGCTCGCGGATTGCTGGGACTCGGCTTCTCTTGGCGCCTGACATGCTGGGCGAGTCTGATGTTGGCTCTCACTCCCACAACCAGCCAAGGTCCTCAAGGTCTGACTGAGGCCATGGCTGGATCCTAGCCAAAGACGGATTCTCAGCCCCTCCTCTGGGCCCATGACCTCGCCCAGCGGGGTTGCTTGTCTCGGACTGGAAGGGGTCAAAGGCCGAGGCAGACAGATCAGATCTGGTGGCCTACCTTTACCACCTCCCAAATGTGTCTGTGTTTGGGGACCAGTGGGAATGAGGGAAACGGAGATGGTTCTTTCCTACTCTTAGTACCACAGGACATCAGTAAGTCAGGAGAGCCTAGTTTTAGAGAGCTCTGTCTGACGTCCTCTGGTATCTAATCTCTGGGGTCAAAATGGAGCCTTGCCTGATTCTAGTTGATGGATGTAAGTTATGGCAGGAAAATAAATTAGAGGGCCCTCCCTGGTGGCCAGCAGGTTAAAGCACAGCACTGAGAATCTAAAGCCACTTCAGCATGAGTTTGATCCCCAGTCCCAGAGGTGACCCACATGACCCAGCAGACCTCTCCTGACCGCCCGCTGCTCCCCTCAGCAGTGTACTTGGCAGTCTTCCTGTTCTGCTCCCCGCTCTGTCTCTGGTGAATCCTCTCACCCCCTGTACCTCTGGCCTGTACCCCAGTTCTGTATGCACAAATAAATAAATCTTAAAAGAAAGAAAGTGAATTAGAAGAGGTAGAAGAGGGGCATCAGGAATCTATAGGGGAAAGGCTGATGGTTTGGGCAGAGTCTGACCTTGACTTCCAGGAAAGGGGTTGAAAGTTGCCTCTGGGCCTTAGATGGGCTGTAATGCCAGCTAGGAAAGAGGGAAGAGAAAAAGATGACTCTGGGTGTCTGCCTCCTCATTTTCCCCCAGAAAGGCTGACTTTTCTGTCACTTCCTAGTGTCTTTTCTACAGAGACAGGCTGTTCCCGGTAGGGGACCCATTCCCCAGGCTTCAGTATGCTACCGAAATGGTGGCTAAGGTGACAACCCCTTTTTTGTGCTCCTAGCCCCGTTGGTGTGTGCGGCACAGTTTCTAGCAACGTGACCTTTAAGTGGCTTCACTTTCTCGCCTGCTGGCCGCAGACTCTGGGCCCAGACACTGGCCTCTTCACTTTCTCTCCCTGGCTCCACAAGTCTCTCCCATTTGCAGGCTCTGGTTCCTTCAACTTCCAAAGATAAATAAATAATGATTGCAAATGGAGGAAAAGAGAAGGGGCATGGACTCCCCCCAGCAGGAGCCTTCTGCTGGCTGGCGGGAGCTGAGATTGCATTCCTCAGGAAGGGTCGGGATGAGAGCTTACCCTCTGATTCCTTTTTAAGTGCTTTTTTTCTTTGAGCCACTCAAAGATTTTCCCAAAGGAAGCTTCCTGGTTATCTTTCCTCAGAGCTACAGGGCAGAGTGAGCCAGTAGCCTACATAAAAATCTTTTTGTTTTCAGGTTTGTTGGAGATAGCCAGGATGACTAAACTTAGTTACCAACCTCAGGAAATCTGGCTAGGGAGCTGGACCAATGAAATACACCCTGATAGTGTGTGATAAGCTTTTCAATAGAGTAGGGATAAGCAACCATGAAAATAGAAATGGGGCTGAATTAATCCTGACTGAAGTGGGCAAGAGGAGGCTTACCGAAAGGGTTAGTTCAGTCTGGGGAGTAAGTGAAACCCACCTGACTCTACTAAACCATAATTATTCTCTTCAAGTTCTCACATTTGTGGTGCCTCTGTAGAGGAGAAAAAAATCTGCCACCCCAAATCATGTCTTTGGCAAGAGGTTTATTTCATGTGAGGTTTTTGAGGTGGGGTGAAAGTTGCTTTTGATGTTTATATTGCACTACTCTCTTTAAGGGATTTTTCCTAGAAGACCTAATCCCCTTATCTCTTCTCTCCTGGAAGACAAAAGTACCTTTGCTAGGCCCTCTCTGGTGGTGCAAAGGGTTAAAGCTCAGCACTATGAAACTATTGGAGGCCACTGCAGTATAGGTTCGATTCCTAGCCAGGGAAGTGACCCACATGGTGACCAGGGAGGTAATGCACATGGTGCAGCAGACCTCTCCTGACCTGCCCACTGCTCCCCTCAGCAGTGTACTTAGTCAATCTTTCTGTTCTGCTCCCCACTCTGTCTCTGGTGAATCCTCTAACCACCACTAACCCCCAACCTTTCTCTCCCCAGCATTTCTGACTTGTACCCCAGCTTTTGTATGCATAAATAAATAAATAAATAATAAATCATTAAAAAAATACATTTGCCTCCCCCCACCTCAACTGTAACAGGGTGGTCCCTAGGAAATGGGGAAGTTCCAGGTTCTCTGCCCCACCCAGAAGGAGGGTGGAGCTGAGGAGAGAAGAGGAGTCTGAGGAAGTAAGCAGGATGGAGAGCCAGAAGGAGACCTGAGGAAGCCACATGGAACAGCAAGCATGTGAGGAAGAAGCCGTACTTGTTTCCTGGCCCTGGACTGGTTAAGGTAGATGTGGGTGAGAGACCTGCAGGGAGGTGACTATGGCCGTGTTTATACTGATTTTGATTTTGCTCTTTTCCTTCCAGACTTGTCTGGCCATTTCGATCCTTTTCTGAGTCCCGGGCAGAAGGAGCTTTAGTCTTGTGGAAGCTTTCAGGCCTTGCTTTGGGTCAATCCCTTTTGGGTTGACCTTTGCCCAGGAGGGGATGTGTAACTTCAGGTGTTTGATTTAGAAATTATATTCTTTGTCTTTCATATTGTATACACTGTATTAAAGTTCCTTTTTCATTAAAGCCTTATCTGTTTTGCCTTGATGTGGCGGAAGGCAGAACCCACTTAGAGCAGGCAGGTTTGGGGGTTCAGTGGTGCCCCTCTCTCCCTGCCCTATAACACAACCACACACAAAGCTCCGAATTCCTCTTCCTTACCCCACCCGCCCTTGTCATAGTCCTAGCGGGCTATTTAAAGTGGCACTGAAACCCACATGGGGAGTCAGCCAGGATGGATCTGTCCCATGCATACAAGAGGTATATATGTTATTATTAAACTTTATTATTATTGTTATCCATCTGATGCTTGTCTGATTATTTACCAGCTTAGAGGAATATCGAGATGGCTTCCTCCAGGCTCCAACACCCCTCCCAAAAGCATACTGTTGCCAGGGGCTTCCTGCTCGCCACCCTTTCTCTTGCCCTTAGCTTCAATGTTGCTCCATTTCCACTTGCTCACAAGTGGCTGGCACCTCTTACCTCAAGACAGGGCAGAGCCTCCATTAGCAGTAGCTGACAGTAGGAAATGGAGCAGTGGGCCCTGTCCCCTCACCCTGACCCCAGAGCTAACACAGGGGATCACGAACATCAGCTGCGAGCTTAGTGTGTCTGTCACTTGTAGATTACATTATACGAGAATTACCTCACAACAGGGTGAGGATGCACCTTAATAGGAACTTGTCCACATCCCTTACACAGCTAGTAAGGCATAGAACCGGCATTTGATCCCAGGTACTCTGTTCTCCAGAGTGCAAAGAATTAAACACCGTTCTCTATGCACTGTAAGGAGAAGAAGGGCTATCAAAAATTCTCCTAAGAGCCCCCTTCCCCTTGAGTCTTTCTTATTTTGATTCTCTCTCCCACTCTGAGCTGAATCTATAAAGATAGTCATTCCCAAACCATGGTGAGTACTAGAGCCAGGCTATCCTTTTATGCCTTATTCAAACAGATTTGAGGAAGGCAAAAACTTTCCAAAGATCTATACTACTCAGGTAGAGGAAAGGAAGGGGTCAGTGAAAACCACAGCAGATCAGATGGATCTAAAGTCCTTTGAGCTCTCCGTCCCTCTCTTCCTTGTCCTGTACCTCCCTGTGGACAGTGCTGACCACTCCCCAAACCCCATCACCCCCGTGGGAACACTAACTCTAAGTCTTCATGGCAGAAATGTTCACTTCTCAATCAAAAGGTTCAGAAGGTGTAAGAACGAAGGTATGATACCAGATAGATATTTGGGACCAATAAGAGCTACCCTTTGGTGATCAGATTCTACCACATAAAATGTGCCTGTGTATAATTTCAACATTCCCTCAGGTAAGAGTTACAATCTGTCTTTATTAAAACCTGACTTGCTCCTTAAATGAAATTGTCCCAGATGATACTTTAGCACAGAGCTAAAAGCATGGACTTTGAGGGCCCTCCCTGGTGGAACAACACATTAAAGTGCAGCACTATGAAGCTATCTGCAGCCACTGCAGCAGGAGTTCGATCCCAGCCAGGTAGCTGACCCACA